TCTGCCCGACTGACTGTATTTATATGTTTGCATGTGGAGTAAGCTAATTTTGATGGGTTGCATTGTTTTCATTGTTGTTATTTATTACCTATTATATTCAATAATGATCTTTTATCAACGGACAATAATAAAATATGTGCTTAGAAAATAAATGTTTCTATGCTAAAAACGATAATTGAGTCAACGTTTTTGTTAAATAAACAAAGGTTTGTATTAAACGATTTGGAATATTTGACATCTTTAGACTCAATTTGGGTAAAAGTCAAAATGTCGAAAATAAAAAATACGGTTTTGTTCAATTTTTTGAGCTCTTTCGAACTGTGTACTTAAAATTTTGACAACTCTAAAAAAAATTTTAATTACAGTTGCATTTATAACCAAAGACAAATCAAAAATGTTACATTTTTCATATACCTACATAAATATAAAAAAAAAAACTTTTTCTTTCTCTTAAAAAGTTGCATTTTATCTTTTACGTCAATTGAATCTAAAGATGTACATATCATATTCAACTTTATTACTGTACACACATCAAAAAAAGTTTGCGATCACTTTTAAAACTTGAAATATTTTTTAATTTCTAAAAATATTTCAAAAACCTCTTTAGTGATACCATTATTTGTTTTTAATTTTAATTATTTATTTAATGTTGTACTTTTAACAAAAAAACTATTTATTACATATTTCTTAATAATATTTCATATTACATACACATATTAAAAATATATTAAGTTTTCAAACTGATCGCAAACTTTTTTTGATGTGTGTATGTACAAAGAAGAGTATAAATTAAACTTCGTAAGTATTTCATAATTTCTTGCTAAAACTTAAGCATAATTCATTTTGTAAATACGAAAAACTTGCTTAGCTTATAAATTTCAACCTGAGTGTAAAAAAACAATTACATAACACAAAAAAAAACTCGATCTCCAACTTACAAAGTATCAAATGCCTTTTCAATATTACTACGTGTTTTGCATTTTCATCCCGACTCGTCGGCCCGTGACAATAAAACCTTGTTATTTGACATCAAACCACAAAGAAACGTTTATTTGACAGCCCAGACACTGCAGAAGCCTGTTTGACGGTGTAAAGCTTAAGTTTTGTACCTCTATCATGAGTTCGTGGTGACAGTTGTCTGTAGTAATATAATAAATATTTACATAAAATTTCATATACTCACGCCTTTGGGTTCCCACATTGGGGTAGGCAGTTTAAGTGACACAATGCAATTAAAGCCACATTTGGCATATGTTTGGGTTAAGATTGTATACAATCTTGTGTAACTTAGTGCACCATAGCGACAGGTTGCCAGCCTTCTTATAGGACACTATTAAACATCATCACCCAGTCGACTTTTACAACGCGGGATGATAAACAGCTGATACCTTCTAAGTTTTTCTTTTGGTTCCAGATCAGCATGGAACTGAGTATATATAAAATTTCACTTCTTGTTATTCACTGGCGCAGTAGATTTGGCGCAAAAAACTAACAAATGTGATTCGTTATAGCCAGCAACAGCTATCATTGTTGCATTCATGATAGAGGCATCGATGTGACCATCGACCTTGTAAACAACCCTTTACACGTCCCACCGCTAGAGACGAAGAGTTGGACTTTTAGCAGCAGTGGAGCTTGTGAAAGAATTCGTCCAGGGAGGTATTGCCACGTTACTGCCACCAAGCAGTAATGTTAGCATTACATCGTTCCGGATTTGAAGGATAAGAATGCTAGTGAAACTATAGCCAAAAGGGACTTGGCAACTTTTGTTTCATTAATACATATTTTTTTGTGAAAATACTCCACAACTTTGTTATTATTACTGATCGAACAATCATAAATAAAGTCCTTGGATTACCACCTTACCTATTTCTGCCGCCAAGCAGTAATGTGAGTATTACGCACTGCGTTCCGAATTTGAAGGATAAGAGTGCTGGTGAAATTACAGGCACATGGAACTTGTCAACTTTATGTCTCTGGGTGACGAACGCAATGGCAGTGCCCCTCGGGTCTTTGAGGTTTAAAGATATAACTGTCACTGCAAGTGCCATGGCTAGATAGTCATGTTGCTTACCAGCAATAATTGTCGTTTTTTATTATTAAAATTTGAACCGCGACAAATTACATTTGCGGGACCTAAAAGTGTTCGCTATTTCAGACGCCCCGCAACACTATACTGCATTTCGCGCGCGTCATTGTCCAACCAAAAGACTGTATTGCTGCGTACCGTGTTATGTCGAAATTTCTAAATTTTAAAACTTACAATATATTTTAGTTTCTAATATCTCATTCTAAAACCCTAATACCACCAAAAATGAGATGTCAGGAAATAGATTAAGCCTACAGAAATCATCAAGAACGCTGTTAAATCAAAACACAGAAAGTGACTTTACAGTGTATTGGTTTGACATGGTACAGCAGGCGCACAACTTGTTCGTCTGTCACAAAAAAAACCTTAAAAGGACACATTAAGGTCATTCAGTAAACTCCTAAGACGGTTATTTTTCAATAGATGGATGTTTTTAAGATTTTAAAAACTTATACTAACACATGAAAAATTGTAAGAGACATATTATTAATACGAGGAATAAAAATAAACTGGTTGTTCTTGACAAAGACAGTCGTCTCTACAAAGCAATTAAACAATTAAAGGGGCAATATATACGCTTATAATAATATAACAAGGTTCTTGTTGCTGTTCACAATTTGCAATTTGCGAGGCATAAAACTGTCGCATACAAAAAGTTGACACAAAACGTTTTTACACGAATTTGTTGTGTTTTGCGTTGACCTTTCGAATACGGATTTTTTGAGGTTGGAAGTCGCCAAACCTGCGAGCGAGACGATTCGTGATAACTCTCGAAAACAACTTATCCGCTCACGCGATACATGCAGCCGTAGACGCATACCACACCTAGAGGTGCCGGTGATGATTTTATATCGATTTATCGGATATCGAAGTTATAACAGGTAAAAGAACTAATATTAATTGCTATTTCGGTAACTACTCTAGCAAACCATAAAGTTTTTAATGCCTGTGTCTGTCATTTAAAAAAAATAAACAACTTCAAAAATATGTCACGACAATCGTGTGTGTTATTGTTTGGGCTGGTGATTTCGGTGTTTATTTATTGAAAACATACCGTAAGTAGCGTTTTTTAAGTTTACCCTGAATATAAATGTTTATAAACTATACTTTAAGGAGTAATTTCATGGTAAACGTTAGAACCACTCAACGGAATATTATCATATTTATCCAAGTGCACTAAAAGTTTCATTACTGCTTTTTAAGTCCAGGATTTGCGGTGTATTACTGCATTTTATTTGAGGTGTTTTTGTTGGTAGTACGGAGGGTATTTATTTAGCAATGCAGAATAATAATTTTTATTTATAAAAACTTGTATTTAAACTGAATGCTTTTCTAATTTGCGAAACCAAATAGTCGCCATTTTGCGGTAGGAGGAGCGCATCGCGTGAGCGGTTATAGATATGGCTCAGAAGCGAGATTGGCCGATAGTTCTTCAAGAGTGTTTTATCACCTGTTGTGAAGAACAGAACGACCTCGCTTCTGCCCCATGCCTTCGGCGTTTGACCTTCGACGATGACAGAATTGAAAAGCTTCTGGAGGACTTTAAGTATCGACTTGCCGCCCACTCTCAGAAGTTCTGTAGTGATTCCATCATCGCCGCTTTGTTGTTCTTGAGTTGTTTGAGAGCCACACTAATCTCATACAGGCTGACGTCTGGGATATCTTCGGTATAATGTCGGGTAAGCTTGGCTCTGGGGTCTTTAATCTCGCTTTCAATAGGTGCTTTCGTGGATTATAGCTGGCGATAGAAACTCTCTATCTCCCTCAGGATTTCAGGCTTAGATGAAATGATGCTACCGTCATCAGTTTTTAGCTTCGTCAGAATGGGAATTATTTGCTACTTATTCCATAAACGTTATAACTTGAGCCTTTTCGTCTCAGTGCCGTAAGTCATCCCTGGCAGCACTCATTGGTTTAATGAACCACTTCATTATCGTCGAAATCAAAATAATGAAAAAATCATTTATTATCGAGTTCTTAGGTTTTCGCGATTGTTACACATAGGAAATGAAACTATTTTTCCGGATTTAAATCGCGTAAATTAGTTTTTTCAAACATATCGACGTTTCGGGCTCTTTACAGGTATTAATAATAATAACAACGCACACACTCCACATAGCCCCGCACTGGGGACAATTACGACAATATTTACAATTTTGATTTCGCTTAAACTTCGTAATGATGGAGGTACAAATTTTTTAAGGATAAGTACTAAATAGTACAATTTTGGTACATTTTTGGTACCAAATATGTCAGGATTCGTTAAGATGGCACTCAGAAATCTCAACATGTTTTGTCTTATTTCTCAGAAACTAACAAGCAGATCGAGCTGGAGTTTCCTTTACATCAGAGAACTATTAAGGTACAAATTTTTTGAATAACAAGTTTTGATAGTTATTAAATAAATACTGTTAATCCGAAGTACACCAGTCATATTGACAGTCAATACGGAGGGTGAGCCTTTGATATATTGCAATAACTTCGTTCTGATGGAGGTAGAAATTTTTTAAACAGAAGTATTAAATAGTGGGGGCGGGCCTCAGCTACCAACTGGGTCACAGGTGGCGGATAGTGAGACAGTCCTGTAGTATGCAGGATAGCTATGAATAAAGTGAAACCGAAATAAGCAGTCCCGGACCGAGGCGGTAGGGCTATCAGGCAGTGTTGGGGTATTCACTGGCATAGGTACCCTCTTGAAAAGACACGGAAGTCCCGATGATGACCCTATGACATGGCGAGCAAATACCGCCATCAAACAAATGTTGCCCTGGCAGAGGGGAGCAGCCTGCCACTAGCTAGTTGGGCAGAGTTCGTGAAGAGCAGGACGACCGACTAGAAGTTCAACAACAGGCGACGTTGGGTAACATCACAACCGGCTGATGTACCAACCCGTCGTGGCTGATGTGGTGTTATGGTGTTATGGCTAACCTCCTTCCCTTCAAACCATGACAGACAAAAGAAAATATCGACCCCGAGTTCAGGCAGGGGTGCGACAAGTAATCCCTGGGAGTTAACCAACTGCTACAAATTGAAACTTTTAACCTACAACATACAGTCGCTGTCGTCGGATGATGGGCTAGTAGAACTAGAGACCGAACTTGGTAACGTCAAATGGGATATCCTACGATTGTACGAAATTCGGCGCAATGGGGAGGAATTGTTAACTCTGAAGTCGGGCCACATTTTATACTACCGCGAAGGCTCAAAACCCGGTATTGAAGGAATTGGCTTTATGGTGAACCAAGCCATAAAAGATTGTGTCGTTGAAATAAACAGCATCTCATATCGTCTTGCTTACGTGATACTAAGACTTAGTAAAATGTATAAACTAAAAGTTATCCAGGCATATGCCCCGACATTGAGCCACCTGGACGAGACTGTTGAAGAGTTCTACGAGGATCTTAGAACCCTGAACGATAAAGTTAAGACCAAATATACCATAATAATGGGCGACTTCAACGCGCGAGTTGGTAAGAAGGAGAACAATGGGGAAACTAGCATAGGGAATTACGGGTTTGGAGTATGAAGTGCCCGTGGACAAATGTTTCTCAACTTCCTACAAGCTAATTCGTTATATGTTATGAACACCTTCTTCGAAAAACAAGAGCAACGGAAGTGGACATGGAGGCACCCTGATGGCTTACACAAGAACGAGTACGATTATATCATCACATATACTAAACCCGTGGTTCAGGATGTCAATGTGCTAAACAGGCACTACCGGTAGTGACCATCGCCTGGTGAGAGCTGACATATGCATAAAGCTAAGAACAGCGCGAAGGAATCTTATTGTAAAGAAACACCTGCCAGCCGACACCAAATGCAAAATATTGCGAGTTAACGAAGATCTCTATAAAAATGCCGTGGAGGCAAAGATTAACCACGAACAATTAACCACCATGACCGTAGATGTGATCAACGACAAACTAACAGCAGCACTAACTCTGAGCCTTGATGAAATTACTCCAAGTGTTCTACCAAGTCAACCATCTAAATTAACACCAGAAAATATAAAGATGATGCACCAAAGACGGTCGCTATGCAGTGAGGGAAAAATAGGCAGTCAAGAATACAGAAACCTGCAAAAACAAATCCGTATACAGACTCGAAATGACATGATGGACCATAACACCCGTAGCATACAAGAGTCTTTAGAAAAGAACAACAGCCGAAGACTCCTAAAGCTGGAGCAACGCAAACTGCCTCTGTGGCCGAACGGTTACTATGCCGGACTGCCACGCAGAGGTCCCAGGTTCGATTCCCGGGCCGGGAGAAATATTTGTATGACCTACATTTGTTTCTCTCGTGAGTTTGGGTGTAAATTGTGCTTGTCTATATGTGTGTCCATGGCACCCGCGACACAGGGTTTCCCTAGTGCGGGGCTATGTTGAGTGTGTATGTTGTTATTATTATTATTATTATTATTAATGTAATGAATACAGGAAACCACTTACACAGCCTTCATCGATTACGACTCCACATAGTGGTGGTTCGTAGAACGAGCCCTAACTAGATGCCGTATCGATGAAAGGTATATACAAGTCCTCAATCATCTACATCAGAACGCTACCCCGCATATGTCTCCCTACACAAGAAAACCAACAAATTCCACCCAAAGAGGGGTGTCCGGTAAGGAGACACAATATCACCGAAGTTGTTTACCCTAGTACTAGAATGCATATTCCAACAGATGCAGTGGACTGGGAAGGGGTTGATGATCGATGGAGAGAGACTTACCAATCTGAGGTTTGCTGACGATATGGTTCTGATTTCTGAAAGTATCGAGTATTTGCTGACGATGCTAGAGGATTTGAGGGTGAAATCAGAAAAGACTGACCTTAAAATGAACATTGGGAAAACCAAAATCATGACCAACATTCCTGAAGTCACAAACTACCAGCTTCCAGTGGAGAAAGTGACCGAATACATATACTTAGGATATAAGGTTACGTTGGGCTTTGAGAACCAAACAGCGGAAGTGGAACGACGGGTAGTTCAGGCGTGGGCTGCTTTCGGTGCCAACAAACAAACGCTATGTGGCAAAATACCCCTACATCTCAAAGTTAGTCTTCGAACAATGTGTCATGCCCGTGCTCGTCTATGGTAAGGAAACCATGACTCTTACAAAGAAGACCGCTGAGAGCCGTAGAAGGGCATAGAGAGAGCAAGACTCGGAGTTAGCGTGCGAGACCGAAAAAGCAACGCTTGGATACGAAATAGGACCAAATCTAAAGATGTCATGGTTGCCGTGGCGAAGAAAAGGTGGACGTGGGCGGGAAACATTGCGAGATTGGACGAGAGGCGCTGAACAAGGCCAGTAAATGAGTGGAGACCCAGAGCGGATGTCAGAGGGCGCGGTAGACCACCGCAGCGCTGGTTGGACGACATCCGACGACACGGAGGTCGGGACTGGATAGTCAGGTACATGATCGCCAAGAGTGGAAGAAGAGGGAAGAGGCCTGCATCCAAGATTGGATAATAAAACGGCCGCCATGATGATGATGATGATTAAACAATACAAATTAGGTACATTTTTTTTTATACTAAATTTGTCAGGATCCGTTAAAGTACACCCGCCATTCTGCCTCTCACGAAAAGTTCGTCCAGGGAAATACCTTACCCATATCTGCCGCTATGCAGTAATGTGAGCATTAGTGCATTCCGGTTTGGAAGGGTAAGCGTGCTGGTGAAAGGTTACAAGGCACATGGAACTTGTCTACAACGACTAAAACGCAACAGCACTTCTAAGACGGTCATTTATTTGTTGGTATGTAACTGTACTCCTGACACTAGTCATGGTGTTCCAAAATCTACAGAACCTTGTTTTATTGTCTAGAAAACTTAGTTTCAAATTGGACACATACACACATCAAAAAAAGTTTGCGATCAATAGCATAAGCTCCTATAATTCTTTAAATTTAACTTTATTAAGAAAAAATCTATGTTGTATGCTTTCTTTAAATAGGAATACCCTGTTTGAAATTAAAATATAAAACTATTTTTTATTATTTATTTAAAAAAATTGAGCCATTAATCATAATGTAATAGTGATAGAAATTTCATAGAAAGAAAAAGACTGTTTAATTAAACTTAAACAACAATTTATTATTAAAAGGTGTGAATTCAATATAAAATAACTCCTCCCCTGGCTCGAATACATGCGAAGATCCTCCTGGGCATGCTGAGGATCAAGTTATCCAGCATTTCCTGGGGTAACCTATCCCATTCTTCAATAGCGGCTTCCCTGAGCTCTGGAACTGTCTGGGGACGTGGCTCACGGTTCCATACTGCTCGTTTAAGAGCATCCCACGCGTGCTCTATTGGGTTTAAGTCGGGCGAGCCGGCAGGCCAGTCTAATCGTGTGATATCGTATTCTTGAAGAGCAGCATTGACTCGTTGAGCTCGATGTGCGGGCGCATTATCATCGACCAGTACAAATTGGTGCCCATGGTTTACTCGGAATGGTCTGACGATATCATCAATAGCAACTGCTTTGTACATGTCTGCTGTCATGAAGCCCCGATACGGGATCAAAGGCGTTCTAGCTCCAATCATAATGCCACCCCAAAAGGACACCGATTTTCCGCCTTGCTGAACTGTTCCAGTGGCAGTTCTTTGTCTTTCACGGTCGCCTGGTCTTCTCCAGACACGGACACGTCGGTTATCTGGATGAGTGCTGATTCGGGATTCGTCAACGAAGAGACAGTTTTGCCAAATGTTTTCGTCCTCACCTTCTTCATTTTGCCGAAGTCTAGCCCACTGCAATCTTCGTTGTTGACGTTGCCGGGAATTGAGCGGAGCTCGCCAAGACCTCCGTGCTCGTAATCCAGCCTGGTGCAAGCAATTGCGAACGGTCTGCGTGCTAACTTCAAGCCCAGAGGCGGCCCTGACTTCTGCTTTTATTTTAGTAGCGTTGATTGTTGGATCACGGGCTGCCAGCAATCTAATATAGCGCTTTTGGGCAGCTGTCAAAACAGTTGGGCGACCGCTGCGGGGTCGGTCAGCTAAATTCCCCATTCCGTGATACCTCTGCAACGTAGCCACGACACAGGATTGGGATATAGCAAGTCTGCGTGCTATTACTCTCGTGGTGTATCCTTCTTCCCTCAAAGTTACTATTCTAGCTCGTAAAACCTCTGATAATCCTCTTGGCATTTTTTCAATCACAACTTTCCGCGAAAAATATCTTGAATCGCTTATAATTGACTAAATCAGATTTCTGAATGAGCGTAAGCTAGGACTGAAAGCCTTTTTATATGAAAAAACAAATGAACGGGGTCATTATTTTATGTTCTAATTTATTTTTAAATAAATAATCTAAAAAGAAGAAAAAATCATAATATAATCTACAGTAACAAAAAAGATTTCAGTTTTTCGAAGTGATCGCAGACTTTTTTTGATGTGTGTAGGTATTGGTCGAAAATTATGTTTATAATAAGAAACTGGCGTACCCCGACACCCGAATAATATTTAGGCATTGCCTATAAAAATGTTTTCCTCTAACTTTCGCCCAACCAACACAAACCCGCGGCACCAGATGGCTTCTATTAAATCTGATCAAGGTTCCTGTACTTTATCTTATATTTTGGTATAGTAATCTAGACCTATTCACCGAATATATTTTATTCAAATATGTAAAACATAATCTCCAAAACTTGAAATTGGAACATTAATTTCAGACTTCTGAGAATAGTAAACCCAAAACAAAATTTATTCAGGAATTTAATTTCTATATTTTGACAAGGTGTGTATGTAACACAGACGCAAACAAATTAAGTCAACAAAAATTTGTAAGGGAGTTCACTATTGTTCTTTGTGTTATTTTTAGTATTTGGTACAATAAGAGACATTAGAAAACAAAAACACTTAAAAATGAATACAGTAGGCGTATCTGTGCCCAATTATGACTGTGCTCTACATTCAAAACTATATATATACTAAAACAGATGCTAAATTAATTATTGAAGTGTGGCGCTGCATTCGCCTAACGAACATCGCCCAGTGTTAATTTAATCTTTAAAAAGTAGCTACTTAAATTTTTTCAAATCTATGTATTTATATAAGTGTTCATAATTATTCAATTCGCCAAGAAAACTGTTATTTCCGTGAAATATCTAGTACTTTTAAGAGATTTTAGTGCGTAAACATCGGCTACAAATTTACTCTGTACGGCTGTTAAAATTGTGTGTGACTTTGATCTTTGATGATAAATAACATCATTTCATGATATATTCCCGTATAATCAGTGTGTGAAGTGCAAATAATTGGAACAACAGGATTACAAGTGTTTTTCACAAGGAGGCTGGTTGCTACCGTCCGTTAAAACAGCATCCTGCTAATAATACTCATTTCGTCGTAACTTGTTTACATCGAACAAACAACCGACTTCGAAATCTATACTGTTATTTCGCCGATACAAGTTGTGTACGCACTGGTATATCGGTATAGTGGCCTGACTCAGAGCAAACCGTCTGCGGTTCGCATTTCAGCCACCAAAGGGGCGTATTAATTTTGTATTTTTTTATTTGTTTTTTGATATTTTCATTTTATTTTCCTTTATAACCTTATATTTACTTTTATTTTATTTATAGTAATATAAGAATCCAAAAACACCACAAAAATATACACAACACACTGGAACTATCTCCTTTTGCTTGAGTTTTGTCAAACAAATTCCGGATACAACGTCTGGGGCATATCGAATAAAGTTATATACTCGGTAATTTATCTAATTTCCCCACATTTAGCTGATGCATTCAATAGGTGCGTTGACGAAGGTATTTCCGATTTGATGAAATACAGTATTAGGTTATTCCTTTATTCAAAAGCGGTAGGAAAGTTGATCCTAGCAACTATAGACCCATTTCAATTCTACTAGCTTTAAGTAAAATATTCGAAAAGGTTATGTTGACTCAACTACTGTCGTATTTCGGTAAAAATTATATTTTTCATAGTGAACAATATGGGTTTACTAGTGGTAGATCGACTGGCGATGCGAGGGTATCACTACTAAAACATATATTTGATGCTTGGGAAAGGTCCCAGAATGCTATTGGGGTTTTCTATGACCTATCAAAGGCATTTGATTGCGTGGATCATATTACTCTTATTAGGAAGCTGGAATATTACGAAGTAAATGACAAGGAGTTGGAACTTGTCTCGTCATATCTTAACGGTAGAATTCAGAAAGTAGACAGACATACATGGAGTTACTTCTTTGGGTTCTCCGTTAAAAATGTGTGTTCCACAAGGTACAATACTTGGACCTTTCTTATTTCTCATTTTATTAATTAAATACCATTCTTTGTTAAGGACCTTTGCGAAATAGTATTGTTGGCTGACGACACATCCTTGATTTTCAAAACAGACAGACATGACGTTAACTAAGATAATATTAATATACTTAACTATAGAAGTACACATAAACTAGTAACAAATAAAACCAGATCAGTAAAAACGTTAAAACAGGGCGTAAATCACGCTTTTTATATAAATAACGAATTTATGGATACAAATCTAAGTGAATATTCATTTTCTTAAAAAATCATAATGTTAAGACTTTACTAATATGTATACCTGTATAATTTAAGTATGTATTCTCTGTAATTTGTCTTACCTATAGGCAATGTACCGTGTTGTCTTGGTGAATAAATCATTTAACCTTGACTTTGACTACCCTTTCAAAGGTAGTTTATTGGTTTAATATTAACAATTTATTGTTCAATGCCAAGAAGACAAAGTGTGTTAAATTTGAATTACCTAATGTAAAATCGACTAGCAAAATCATAGAAACAAATAGAAAAAAGTTAGACTTTGTTAATAAAGCTGTTTTTTTTGGGAGTGACCTTAGATAGTAAACTCCAATGGTTTCCACACATATCTTCCTTGGCCAGCAGATTAAGCTCTTACGCAGTCAGTGAGAACTTACCGATGTTGCTACTACTAGACTAGTTGCTAAACTAGTAGCTATAAATAAGTAGCTATACTTCCATAGTATAATGTCCTACGGGATTCTCATGTGGGGTAAAGCGGCAGATATACTATTGCATTGCAAAACCGAGCGATTTGTTCTGTGTACCGTTTAGGTACTCGGATTTCTTTCAGAGA